TTTAAATGTTAAAATTTTATTTTTCTTTATAAACCTTCAAATGTCTTGGATACTATTTGAAAGGCTTATATCTAGTGAGTGATGTTTGAGTGTTTCATGTCGTGATGACAATCCGGTGCGAAGAACCGAAATAGGGAGACTTATGGTTCAATTACCACTCACATCAATAGATCCATTTTGTTTGTTTCACATGTAAAATAGATGATAAAATTCTTTTTTATTACATCCAACCTTTTAAAATTGTTATTTTATATAAAAAAAATATTTAGCTAACAATAGCTTTCTTTTATAGGTTATGGTTCTTTAATGCAAACCATAATTGATGAAGCTTTTTGTAGAAACTTATATGAAAAATAATGATCATCAAAAAAGGGTGCCACAGCTCATGGATAGCCAAGCTCAGAAATCCATGGATAGTTGGATTTCAACAATATTTTTCTTAAGTTATTATTTTTAAAAAATTAGTTGACTAGTTGTTTTTCAAAAAATATATACCACTTGATTGCATGAGAGATATGGGGACAATCTATCAACTCATTTGAAACTTAAATTGGACTTGTGATTAGAGGTTGGATCTTCTAATAAACCTATGCCTTGTTTGTTTCCAGAAAAACCAATTCCTGGAATTCATTTTTCTAAGTTTCCCATGTTTGGCACCAATATGGAAAACTAGTCAACGAAAACTTAATTCCGGTCAAAACAGAAAATATAACTTTACCAAAGGAAAGTGTTTTCCTTTTGATAAGAAAAGGAAAACACTTTCCTTTCTTTCATTACACATATTTTTCTCAAATTCTTAAATCATAGTCTCTCTCTTTTCATAAACAATTGGGAAGCAGGAACAAGTGCATCATTTCTCTGGAACAATTAAAGATCTTATTTTAGGTATTTGTTTTCCTTTATTTCCTTTATATATTTTTATTTTCTTCTCCTTTATGTTTGTATTTTCTTCGTTAGATCTGTAAGAATTATGGCATAAATCCTTCATCTTATTGATAAATCTGCTACCTATCATATTTTTCCCATAACATAATACAGTTTTCTTCTTCATCTTTCCTCGTCACATTTGGTGTGTTCAAAACAACCCAAATTCATCAAGCAAGCTATAAAAAGCACATGTTTTCCATTCTTCCTCACTCACATCCTGCAGAACCACTAGAACCAAACAAACCACAAATCAAAGCAGAATCCCTATCCTGAAGATTACTGTGAATCAATCAAAACAAAATGCCCAAACTTCCCTAGCAAAAAGCAGTCCCTACCCTGTTTCCCCATCACCGGATCTGGCCACCATATCCTAGATGGAAGCATAAAGAGAGAGAGGTAATGTGTAGAACTGGAATTAACCACCATATCAAGGAATTAATCAACCCTTGCTCTCTTTTTTTTTTCAAGAAAGAAATAAAATTTATATACCAAGAGAACCACGTATAAATGCAATTGCTTAACGAGAATTCTATATTGACAGCATTTTGAATCGAGGTGATAGACATTGCGTTGAACAAATTCGTATAAAATCTATTGTTTTATATAGATTGTGTGATTTTCTCACGAGTCGTGACCTATTACGATCATTTCAAAATATGTCCATTAAGGAGCAAGTAATTGTGTTCTTACAAATTATAAGCCAAAACCAAAGATTTCATTTTATTAGTGGTGTATACTATAGGTCTGTTGAAACTATCCATCGTTACTTTAGAATTATTTTAAAAATAGTTCTTAAGTTATACAAACACCTTATTAAAGATCTAGAAGATATAGTTCTAGTAGAGATAATGAATAATCGAAGATTCTATCCTTATTTTAAGGTATGAAAACAATTTTTTTAAAAAAATTGTAGGGAAATATTATCTCGGTGATGCTGGTTACGGTATTCGAAAAGGAATCATTTTTTCTTTTCATGGAGTTCGATATCACTTGAATGAGTTTACAGAGCGTTCACTGGAAAATGAAAAAAGAGTTATTTAATCTTCAACACTCTTCATTGAAAACCGTTATTGAGTAAGGGTTTGGTATTTTGAAGAGTCATTTTAGATCAATTGATGGAAAATCTCTTTGGTCTTATGAAACACAAGTAGATGTTGTGCTTGCATGTTGTATTATTCAAAATCACATAACGGGAGTTGATCCTTATGACTTTCTTATGGAAGAAATATGTTCATAAAGTGAACCAATTAGACAAATAATCAATTTAAGTCAACGGGAGGAAAGGGAGGAGAATAAGGAGTGGATAACAAAAAGAAAAATGATTGCATCAACTATGTGGAATGATTATAACACTCAAAGAAACTAGTAATTGAGTGTTAATTATATATGTTTGTTTTTATTATGTCTTGCTTGAGTTTGTATTATCTTTGTTATGTATTTGGAGTAGATGTTGATTTTATTATAAGTTCTTATGTATTTTATGTATTCTCTTTTAAATATTAATTGTAGTTTTTATATGAAATTTATTAAAAGGAAGCAAACCTTCTTCCACCTTTAAAGCAGAATCTTTTGTTAAGGTGGCTACAGAAATAAGCAAAAGTTCAATGTGCAATGCGAGCCTAAGCATGTGGACAATCATCTCAAGACTGTAAGAAAAGAATGGGGAATAATAACCAAAATTAAAAATAAAAGTGGCTTTGGCTGGGATGATTATCTGAAGATGATTATAGTTTCGAAAGATGTATATGATGAAGAAGTAAAGGTATGATAAATATTATACTCTTTGTAATTTTTATATTTACTTTTGTTTCTAAAATGTTATACAATGAACTAAAAAATTGCATATTCTAAACTTTATGAACAGGCACATCTCAATCATGACAAGTATCTCAACAAAAAACTTGATATGTACGAGGCAATAATAATTGTTGTTGGAAAAGACATGGCAACCAGAAACTATGTCAAATCATATGTTGATGTCAACATGGAAGAGAACACTGAAAAGCAATCAATTTCAATTGAAAATGAAGGGGAATATAAAGAAACTTCTAAGGGAAAAGAGACATCTTCCTCTAGTACACAAAAGAGGCAACATAGGAAGAGAAATCGCATGTATGAAGATAATGGTGTGGAAAAGTTGTCTAAACAGATTGGAGATATAGCACTTGCAATTCAAAGCCTCAGCAAAAATCAACTTGATGTTAATGCACTGTATACGGAAGTAATGAAAATTAAAGGCTTTGATGAGATTACTCTTGGAGATGCATTTGATCACTTGGTCCAAAATAAAATGTTGGCAAAAGCATTTATGGCAAAAAATGCTAATTTGAGGAAAATTTGGGTTCAAAATTTTATGACTCAACACTACTATAGGCCTACTTACTAGATGGTTTGACTATGTTCAAAATTTAGGTGCAGACTATGTTTGTTATTTGACAAGTATGTTTACTTGTTTAATTCAGTCTAGGATGTTTATGTTTGTAATTTGAACTAATATGTATATATATGACATCAAAACTTAATATTTTTATATGACTATGTTTGATTTTAGATATTTATATTTATAGATATTAAATGGATAATTTCTCATACCCATAAAAAAATAACAAACTTCATCCAAAAAACCTATCAAAATATTTTTGTATTTATTTATCTTTTAAAAAAATCTTTGTACCAAAAAAACCTAAATATCTAACTCTTACTTAATACTATAAATTAATTTGGCTTTCTTCATATGAAAAAAAAAACTTATTTTAAGCTTTTAAAATTGAAAAAAATATATTAATAGGTTTTACTTAAAAAATATTTCACAAGCTTATTTCTCTATAATATAATATGACATATATAGTTATATTTTATAAAATAAGCTATGTATGAATATAGAATATATATAAAAAAAAATTCATCATTATACTTTTTAGATTTCATTCTTTTATTGTAAGTGATTAAATATTTATATTAAATAATTTATATATATTAGATAAACTTGAAAAACAAATTAATTCATTAATAAATTATTTTTTAGTTTATTTTCCATAACATAACCAAACGCTGGAAAGTGTTTTCCAGTTCATTTTCCATAACACTACTAAATATCAGAAAATATTTTCCCGGAATTCACTTTTCTAAGATTTCATTTTCCCTGGAATTCACTTTTCAAAAGGAAATAACTTTCCTGCAAATAAACGGAGCCCTAATAGAAATTAAGTTTATGGTATCTGAATGAACTGTAATGTATAGACTATTGGTTCCTGTCAATCGGGTTTAGTCTCCTAATCTCTAACCTTATTGGCAATTATATCAGAAAAAGTTGAAGTTTAAACGACTCGATTTACTACTAAGATAGAATGATTTAATGCTGAGATGACCAAACCTAGGCGATTGTATATGGTGTTGTTATATATCAAACCTCGGTGGTACATGTCCACCTTCTTGCCCATCCTATCCCGGCATAGATTCACCTCGTCCTCTTCTTTCAGCTTCCGTTTTCTAGATGAATTGTATTCAAACCGATAATTTTTTAAACTTGTAATAAATATTTGGTTTTTCATTTTAGTTTATTTCTTTTATTTTTTATTTTTGCTTTGTTTATATAAATATTTTCAAAAACATTAAATAAATTACTAACAGAATTATCGATGGACTAAATCTATTAAAAAGTTCTAAAGAGTTAAAAAAAAATCCATAAAATACCATTATTATTACAGATAAAATCAGTGATGAATTAAATCTATCAAAGAAGGAGGGTTTGAAAAAAATAATAGAAAATACCATTAACTATATATATATCATTATCAGGTTAATTTTATCAAAAATATGAATTAAGTTATCGATAGAAATACGATGAAATGATGCGATGCAATTCAATAATTTTTTGTTTAATCTGTTTTTTTAATTTATTAATAATTATATTATTAACAAATAACCAAGAAAAAAGAAATTATTCCACGTTAAAATTGTTGACAGACAGGTATTGTCCATGATATCATTGGTAAATGCTTTTCTGACAAAATCAGTATCTAAATATCAATAGAAAAATCCTTCGGTGGTATGCAAAATTGTGATCGTGAACCATGGCGAGTGATCTTAAGCTTGTTCAATATAACTACAACCCAAAGCCATCAGCTCTCTTGAGCTCTTTCTTCATGTCGACAGTAAACGTGGCTGGAAAAACACTTGTTTCTGTGGCATCAAAGTTAAAAGTAGAGCACTGAGAGAAGTGGAGATCAAGTGATCATTTAAGGTTCATGGTTATGTATTACTTGGGTCACTGTTTTGGTACCTAGGGTTTTAACGGATCAATTCCCTCTTCCCATGAATTTGTCACCTCATTATCTTCTTAATAGCTATTCCTCCATTGGATCATCATTTCCTTTGGCACTTCAATCATCATCAATAACATGGTCAACTTCTAGTCCTTCAATGGACTTGATTTCTTTTTTTAAAAAAATAATTTATGGTAATTATCAGTTCCTTTTTATGAACAACTGGGATTTATTAATAATTATCTAGTTTTACGTAGGTAAAAATATACTTTACGGTACATCTCCCTATATGCCATATTTGCAAAAATTGGTACTTTTGGGTTTATTCTTACTCAATGAGCACGTCTATTGCCGATATAATTAATTAAACTTAATTAAGGCCCTAAACTACCCTCTCTCTTTTATGACCCCTTTTTGGGATTGTTGATTTCGTCCACTAAATATTCATTTAAACAGCAAGAGGTTTTGATAAAATATTGGCCATGGTTCCCTCCTTCTATGTTCCATAATCTTCCCCTCTTTTCACTATCATCCTCTCTTACTGAAGTTTAATCCTCTAATCTGGTTTTTTATATTATTAAGGCCATTCGGATAAAATAATTAAATGATATTTTGTTCCTCATTTGTTGTTTTGTCGGAAGTCTCGTATCTCATCAACTAGTTTTTTTTAATTTAATATTTCAAATTGAATTCATGCACTCATGATTATTTAATTGCAAGAGATACACATTTGAGACTGTTTATTTAGTTCGAGGCATGCATTTGAATTCATTTCGACCCTCTCTCTTTCAATTATATTTTTTGTAAGAATTTAAAATTAATTGTTTTTTAATTAAGATTAAATCATTTAAAAAATTAATAATCAAATTGAAAAATATAAAATATAAAAGGATAAACATCGAAGTACAAGGTAAAAACACCATAACTTTTAAATTATAGTTAGATAATAAGGATCCAAGAGTGATCCCATGCAATGACTGCCATCGACTGATGGGTGTCTTAAGATATTTTGTGTTTTACACATAATTGCCAAGTGGTTTGCGTGCAACCTTTTCCTGTTAGAACTGTTCCCACGCAACACAATGAGACACCAACTCTCGTAAAATAAACATTCTTTAGTCTCACAATTCCCACCTCTCATTTCTCCAAAACGGCCTTCAAACACGTTCTGTCCGTCCCTTGTACAGGAAAATATGTAAATTAATAAGGAGGAGGGGCACCGAACTATAAAAAAAATATATATATATTCGGCGGCATGTTTAAGTTCATGTCCTGTCAACTTTTGTCAAGTTCGATATAAAATCCTGAAATATTTAGAAAATAAATAAGGATATGGACTGAGTTCCATCCCTAAAAAGATAGTGTCACGTATCTTTGGACATGATTCATACAAAATATTGAAGATCATGTACATTTTGTCATAACATTTCAATTATATGCACCACATTGTTATTGGCTGTTAGATTTTTATAATTGCATTAATGAATGAGATACCAGCAACGTCAAGAAAATAGCAATTTGCAATGGCAATGGCTGTCAAGATCATGAATGGAAACTTCAGAGATGGCCATATGGAACTTGCAGAAGTCAATCGGATGGCTCTTTCTTCCGCATGTGCACGTACACTAAGCCTTCTAAGTTCTACACCAATATGTGCAAAACACTCAAGGCTCAAATGATTCTTCATCAACTTGGACTCCACGTGTCATTAGGTCACTTCCATTAGGGTCCTACATTGCATCTTATTTTAAGGGCACGAGTAATTGTTTGAGTGCTGTTATGTAAACTATTAGGAATTGCAGGTGGCAGTTGGAGAAGCAGAGGCCGCGGAGTGCTGGTTTTGAAGAGGCGGATGATGTGGTGGCAGAGAAATTGGCACGGGAACTTCTTTGGATAACTAATAAACTTAGGGATTATGGAGCTGTGGATGAAGCTCTGTTGCAATTGAGTTATGCTTCTGGTCTTGCTTCTCTTGCGCTCAGTACTGCTAACCCTAGGGTTCAAGGTTACATCGCCAAGATCTCAGGAATTTGTTTCCATTCATTAAAAAATTATTACCGCAACTTTTTTCATGTTATATATTATACTCGCAATGAGATAGATGTCATTCATGAGAACCTTATAATAATTTGAGTATCTAGCGTATGAATTTGGTCTATCTAATAAATTTAGATCTATATATGAGTAAGATCTTGCTCATGAATCTCACAATTCTTGTAAAGTATCCCCAATGAATTAAGAATTTCCTCCAACGATATTAAAATTTCTAATTAATGTAAGCATGGTATTAAAATTTCTCACGAAATCTTGCACTACATCACATATCCTTTGGCAAAATCTTTGTATTACATTTACTTTTGTTCTTTGTACTTTGTAAGGAGTGGTTTTGCGGTATGATTGTTTTGAGTAGAATGATCTTTGGGATTGGTTTCAAACTGAAAGAGAGGAGATGACCATTGCACATTTAAATTTTCACTACGCTGTGTTTTGCATATATTGACGTCTTGTTTTTCTTTATCTTTTAGAGTTCATGTGTGGCTTAGTGTCAGGAACTCCTGTTTTGTAGGAATTTCCTTTGTACTGCCTGCTGCTATATGTAACATTATTGCAGAGAGAAAGGGAACGAGAAAACAATGATTGAATCCCGTTAATCTCTCTCCCTCTCTCGTCTTCTTATTTTTCTTCTTCTATGGTTGCTAAATCCGACCAGCCATTTCTTGCTTTAACAATGAACTCCCAAAGTTCATTAAAATACTCGAAAGAAATTCCTGTAAGAACAATTCCAATTCAGCATGCAACAAGTGGTATTAGAGCGATCGATCTTCGGGCCCGTGACATGACAATTGTTATTAATCCTCGGCACGTGTTTGAGGAGATTAAAGATCTTCTTCGTGGTATGATAGATCAAAATAGATCTATGTTGTTGAAGTTGGAAGGAGATCACTACCCCTACAAGGCTGCTACGGCTACTGAAAAGGCAACAAAGGGCATCACATATTTGAATAAGGTTGTGAAGAATTTGGCTTCAGCAAACAATGTACTGAATGCTTCATCTTCTGCAGTTACAACCACAGGTAGTGGTCCTTTTATTAGCTTCAATGATGGGAGCTAAACTCCAGCTTCTACAAATCGATATCAGGGTTTTAATCCTTTTAGTCCTGGAAGTGTTCATGTTTTTGCTGCTGGAACTGGTCTGGGAGCTGCAACACAGACCATGCCGATGCAATTTAGTTCACTTGCAAGTTTCATCCGCCCCTCGACGGCCTATTTGGCATCCAAACAACAGTCCCTGCTGGATATCCCTTGCCACCATCATATATTGTTGTTGCAGCTGCCACACATGCTCCTCACGATCCAGGCAAACAAGGAACCCTATGCATTTTCTTTCAGCAGGGAATATGACTTGAACACAGGAGTTTATCGGATCCTGGTCTGTCTGATGTCCCTGCCAACTGGAAAAGGACCTGTCTCAACAAGAAACTTATCGGTGCTAGAACTTTTGACAAACGCTATATAAGTCCTAGAAGGAGACTTATTGATGAACCAAAATCTGCATGTCAACAACTGCAGCTGGATTCTTTGATCCATAATGTGAGCCTTTTCCAGTACGCGAGTGAAGAAGCTCTTGGTATGGCCTCAAAAGCAAGAATTGCTCCTAACAAGATTTTTTGGAGTTCAGGTTGCTGTAACTCTATTATTCTTCCTGCAATGGATTAGGCTATCTATGATGGAGTCCATGTGATTTCTTTATCTGTTGGTGCTACTGGTCATGCTCCTCAATATGATCATGATTCGATTGCCATCGGGGCATTTAGTGCATCACAACATGGAATTGTTGTGCCTTGCTCTGCTGGGAACTCAGGACGTTCAAAGAAATATAAATTTCTTACTTTATAAGGTTGTGAACAAACATGATAGTGAAAGGAGAGACTAAGGTAGTCTTGAGGAAATCAGTGGCATGATACTGGGAAAGATGAAAGAAATCGTTGAGTAGAAACCTCAGCCTTGCACATATGACCCATTGAGATGTGCAAGCCTGCTCTTACCATTGCTGGCTTCAGTACCATATCCTTCGTGCTTGGGGCTGTCACGGTTTTTAGATTTCTTGGAATGAAAATTGCAACCTATGTTTCCAACTAAAAAATGTAGTAATTAGCAACTAATCAATTGCAAATAAAATTAAAATTTGTTGCTAAAAACATTTAGGAAGGGGATCAACGATGATAAATATCAGATGTAGATTTATCATTGCTGATTTTACAGCAATGAATTAGTTCTTTGCTGATTTCTCAGCGATGAAAATTCCGATGCTTATGAACTAGTAATGGATTTTTCATTGTTAGTTTTGTGAATCAGCAATGAATTTTTCATCGTTTATTGATGAATTATTTACAATTAGCAACAGAAAATCAGTTGCTGACTATATTATTTTTATTAAATTTATTTATTTCTTTTTATAAAAATGAATTTTAATTCTTTTAATGAATTATTTATGGATATTTTGAGAATTGTAGAATATATATAAACAACATAAATTAATATTAAAAATGACTTTATCACCAATAAAAAATGGAATAAAAATAATATTCATAATATAAAAGTTTAGTTAAACTTACATTAATACAAATAAGTCAAAATACAATCAAAAGATACAATCATGATGCTTGTTGTGGAGACGAACCATGATATTGTGGATCAACATAAGATGAATGAGGATATAATGGTCAAGGTGTAGGTCAATAAATTGGTGGAGATATGAGACCTATATGTGTCATTATCTAGAAAGTCATAGGTGGGGCCATAGGTGATGGCATACCTTGGCTAATATTTGATGTCCCACCATGGTATCCAAAATTGGTCATAAGATATTCTTTCTTAGAATCCATTTGCCGTTTTGTTTCAAAAATAAAATTATCTTTTTTCTTTATCTCCTCTTATTTATTCTTTATCTGCTTTTGCAATGCTCAATAAGATGAACTAGGATATGATGACTCCACTGAGTAGGAATGTGATGAAGAGCTTGTACTAACTATAGATTTTGGCATGCGAGGTGCATCACATACCCTACCCTTTGTAACTCTTTTTGAAGCCACACACCAAGCTGCTCCATCAAATGAATGATGATTTTCCCAATTAGTTTCATACTTTGAAATCATCTTCTTTTTGTAATTTTCCTAGAAATAAAATACATGCCATAATAAATTCATTTGAATGTTAAATAATAGTTAAGTTATGTAAATAAATAATCAAATAAAAATACATGCAACTATTTTTTTAGACTTGTTGACGATGAAAATGCTAGACTGCTTAGTACTTTGATGCAAAGCTGAAAAGACACCATCCCATGAAGGTTCTTTTCCACTAGCTTGCTCTTGCTTTTAAGATTAATAAATATTATAAAAGATAAATATAAAAATTTTAATTCATTATTTTAAGCAAAAAAAAATCCTTACTATGTTAGCTTGATATGAAGCAAATAACACTATTCCTCCAGAATGAGTGCTTATTTTGTCATCTGTTTTGATTAATCGATTCCTCTTAACAGATTTCGACCTCCTTTAAAATTCAGGGGTGGACCAAACATCTTTGATCATTTAATTCCAGTCATTATTATTTATCCAAATAGGACCTATATCAAAGCAATCTTTTGTAGTGTTTCCATTTGACATGGCTTACTTGCGAACTCGTTTCGACTGTTGATTAACAGTAGTCCTAGCCTTATCTTCCTAAATATTACAAGCAATTAACTCATATTTCTCATGAAGGGAATATTTTTTTTCTACCAAATAATATATATACCAAGTAAAAGGAGTGCACAAAATTTCAAAGTATGGAAATGATTAATCATTTTATGTTATCTTATTTAGAATTTGCAAGATTATGTAATAACTAAACAAATTAAATGATATTAAAGAGTAAATAAGAAATAAGAACAAATTAAAACACAAATCAATCCCTGCTACAATACTTATATTGGAGCATAGATGCATATTTATGGTTATCCATAAATAAAAAGAGAGGAATATAACAACTTCTTAATCCATATCCTATTGATTCAGCAAACTACATAAACTAAACACCCCACATATAAAAGAAAAGGAATATAAAGCAACTAAATCTTGACAAGATTTTTCATTTCATATGCAGGTTCAAAAATCAATACCCTAACATATCAATAAAGTAGTCTCAATGAAAGAGTTGTTGGGTGCTTAAGCATTTAAAAATATTGTTATTTATCCATTTCATTTTTAATTATTAGAGTAAATTATTATTTTATCCTTATATTCTTAGTGAAATAGTGATTAGTCTTTTTATTTTGAAAAAAAACTCAATATTAAATTTTCATATTTTTTTGCCACTTGTCTTCTCATAACAATTTTTTTTTCTAAGATTAATAAGAAAATTTAAATCTTGAACATATGTTGTTCAATAGCATGATATTTTTAATCATTTTAGATTTTTTTTCTATGTTATGTTTCTTACCATTTAAGTTTTATCTGTTTTAGAGTGACCCTATGTTGGTTGGTTATTCGAAAGGAAGAGATGGAACACTTACTAAAGCTTTTCGCATAGAAGTAGTTCTAAATTAATTAAATCTAACATGGAGTGCAAAACACACTATTACATTCCAGTTTGAAGTTGTTCAAACATTGGAAGTTCTGTGCCTGTATCTCTATATTTTTCTCAACCAAATATGAGTTTTAATGGTTTCATTCTATTTTAATCTCTATAATTTACCACAGGTTTCATGCATATAATGTTGACACTCAATTTCATAACATAGATGTAAAGGTAATTCTTTAATAGTCATGTATACTTCTTCCTTTATTTTTGCTCTTTGTTTAGGAAGAAATAAGTTTAATCATGATTTTATTATTTGTAGTTTATTATAAAAAAATTTCCCCAACAAAGTTAATTCTCTTTGCAAGATCAATATGTTTAGTCAATAATAACTCTCTGTCTAGAGCAACAAGTTAAATGTTTCACCATTCATGCTATTATTATTGAAGTCTTGGTTAGAATTTGCAAGACCATGTGTAAAGGATCAATTTAATTAAAGAGATAGATGGTCAAATAATTATGGTTTTGATAACGTTGAAAATGTACCACATAACTCAAATAAGAACAAGGAA